ATATCCATCTTAGAGGGACAGGGGTTTTTTGTGCATTTCGTGTTTCTTTAAAAACACCATTCCTTCTCCTTACCTCCCTTCTCCACCACATTCCTTGCAGAGTCAATAAGCTAAGTTTCCACCGAGCCTTAGAAGAAAAGACAAAGACTAGGTCCGCCAAAGTGAGAGCCACAGCGGCAGACCGACAATGCCGGCATCTTGACTTGTCCAGGAGACTATGCTGGAGACATCTGCGCCTGCTACAATGACTCAGCAGGACCTGCCTTTCACTCCAATGGGGCAGGACCAGCAAGTTTACTTTCAGGGTGGGATTTTTTTTTGTGTGTTTTGTTTTTTAAACAGCACTGTGCTCATTATAGATTTCATCAGGAAAAGCAGTTTAACACTTCTGTAAGGCAAGTTTGAGTCGCCGTGACAGAAAGCTAAAGTGTGGGCAGGATGAGGCCATCAGCTGACAGACAGTGGCAGCTCAGTTACTGCTACAAGAGGAGGCTTTGGACCCCGTGTCCGAAATGATGCTGGGAAAAGCAGATTTATCGAGCCAGTCCTTCTTCCCAGGAAGGAAGTGCTCCACGGACTAAGCTGCTCCCTTGGCTCTGTCCCACTAAGTGTACACCACATCACTGCAAGAAGGGATGCTGAAATCCCGAGACTAGCGAGAGTTAGTGACCCGAGGCTCCCTCCTGCTCCCACGTACTGGTGCTATCTCTGTGTGACGTGCTATGGCAAGATTTGCTCTGGGGCCACCTAACAGTAATGAACATAAGCCAAGGCAAAATAGGCTAGAGGTTCCTGAGATGCCCACTTCTATCGTATTTAAGCAGATGTGTTAAGCCAGCTGACGATCTCCTTTAGCCTAGATATTTCTCTTTCAGCTTGCAAATTTCCTTGATCTGAGCAGCTGCTTTTTAATCTAAAGTTTTCAGTTTGAGAGCTACCAGAAGCCGGCTTGTGCATTTGAGCAATTCAAACCTAGGCACGGGCAAGAGACGGGTCAGCTCTTCTCTTGGCTCCAGAAGGAGGCACCGCTTTCCACCTAGAGAAAAGGTGCAAACTCAAACACCTGTGAGGGACAAATCAAAATAAACCTCCTCCTCCGACGCCGAAAAAAGGCTTGCCCCATTCCAGCCATGCGCAACAACCCATAGCCTCCTCCGCCTGACTGCAGACACACAGGCTGGCGAGGCTGAAGTGCAGGCGTGGATATTTGCTGACACCCAGCAGTATTTTCTGCGTTCGGGCAAAGTTCTTCCTGCTCTGCACTGTTACATTTTGCCCTTTCCCCCATGCACATATTTCTCCTGTGACATCAATGGGAGGGAGATCCTGCTGGAAGGTAAGGGATTCATACGGGAGCCTTTCCCAGGATAATTACCAGATGATATATACCAAATATAGGACGTGGGAGAAGGAGTTATATTTTTATTCCTTTGCCGTTCACTAAACAAATACTCTACAGGGTACAAGGTAAGAGTAACAAGACGGTGGATATTCCTTTGTGTGTCCCAGAAATGCGAGTGCTACACTTATTGCTACACCGCCAGCATGCACACGCAATACCACCTGGTATTGCAGGTATTCCTCTAAGGTTAACACCGACAGCAGTGGCTATTCCCGGAACAGGAATAATGCTGCTGTTTACTTGTCCTTCCATGAAGGACGAAAGGAAGATGAAGAACAGAGAATGGCAGCCTTCGCTTCCGGCAGCCTTCATCAGAGATGACACACAAGGGCTAGTTATCATTTCACGCACTGAAAGCCAGCTGTAGTTTCCAGGTGACTGTTAAGGATGAAGGATGCACATATAGGATACATGTAACTGAGAAGTAGTCTCTTTGCAAGATTTACACCCATTTTAAAGGGGAATTGTCAGGTTTCCCAGAGATGAATCATCATTTGAGTTGGCTTTGCCTGCCACCGAGCTCACTGGTCTTGTACCAGTTCATCTGAAGAAGACCCCACGATGCTACTTTGGCATCTCTGCCACAGAGGTAGAACCCAGGCTTTTCAGGTGGGTTGCACTTCCACAGCAATGCCAAGTGCAGAGGTGTCCAGGTGACATGCCCTCGGAGGATCTCAGCCCCTTTTTAACTCTAGAGAGAGATTAAGGTGGACCCCTGTCCCCTGATTTTGGACACCCAGAGTATGTCTGACTGTCTACGGCCTTCTTTGTGTAGAGTAAGCAGGAATCATGGAAGTTATCCACTCTGTCCTACTGGCTTTGTAAGCATAGCTACTACCACCGTTTAACTCTAGTGCATCACCTTACGTAACTCTGTGCTGCTAACCTCCCTAGCTAGCCACAGAAGTTTGCAGGCCATCTCAGACAAAGCAAGCACCTCTGGCAGTAACGGCTAGGTGGGCGGCTGTGTTTTAGATGAGGATCACAGAAAAATAGAGTTAGCCAGGAAAGCCTTGCCAAGAGCTTACTCTTATTCAAGATTTAGCTGTGCAACTATGCCCCTCGCTCACATCAACCACAGCAGCTCTAGAGTTCAGGTGATCCATGTAGACTGAGCTTTTTTTTTCCTGGGAAAGGGAAAACAGTCATTTGAGATAATTCTAACCACCTCAGACAGGGCACACCTCCCCAACCTTGCACTCAGGATACATCACTTGATTTTTTTTTCTTGCTATTTTGGTTAGGATGCACCTGGTGCCTAGTTGCCTGACCGTGCCCATGAAGGCAGGTACCCAACACTCCTCTTCCTGAGATGAGACACACAAGATGTACAGGCTGTTCTACTCACCCATGCGAAAGAAGATGCTATCAGCTCTTTTCACCCCTCGTCCCCCTGCAGTTTGGCCTGATGTCTAAACGGAGGCACCAGATGTGATGGTACTGAGAGAGACAGGCTCAAATAAATCACCCCTAGGGCAACTGGACAGAAGTGTCTATACATATTTCTGGGAAGCAGCATCCATGTTTCCCCATCTCATGTTTTCTACCTGTGACTTCAGAACTGCCGACTCAAAGTCGGACGCCCAGGGCCAGGCCAGAGCAGCTCTAAGGCAGCCCTGGAAACACCAGCCCGTACAGAAAGACTATCGCTCCAAAATTCCTACAGGCCCGCAAGTTCATCTTCAACACTGCCAGCACTTACCCTTAAGCAGAGATAATGCAGATAACTACGTATTATGTGCACCGAGTCATCTCAGTACTGCTTCCAGCCCTGTGGAGACCCACACATGAGTGATGTTATTCACATGCCACCCCTGTGCCACTCCGCTTTCCACCACACGTGTGGAGGCAGAGGTCCCTACACCACAGAAGAAGCAGAAATCCATTATTGCTTCCAGCCATACACATCAACCACTGACACTTTCCACATGTCCAGACTCAGCCATCTTCACATTCAGCCCCCTTGCTGATGGCCACGCAAATGTGATGCAGAAAAACGTAAGGTCAGCAGCTCCTGAAACTGCCCAGTGAGCCTAGAGATCTGAGGCCTGCCTTCCCCACTCTCTGGGCACTACAGTGACTGCCAGGAGACCAGTGCCAAGGCTCCTGCAATTACCTCACGGAAAAGGCAGGGCCTGGGCTTGGCTCCATCACCACCACATCACCGTGTGGCTGGCACATCACCGTGGCTCCTCAGGGGCTAGCAACAGCTCTCTCCCACCACTGCCTTTCTGCTGCGCAGTCGCCAAGCCCACGATAGCCAAGATATGAAGCTGACAGTGACTGTCACTTCAGTTAGGCTTCAGCCGCTCAGCAGGGAACCTCTTAAAGTCTGGCATAACAGCAGCTACAGAGTCATCCCAGCTTCTGCCAGTGGCACCAAGTTCTGCTTACACGACCGACCTGGGAGGGAAAGGCCGGAAAGTGCTTGTACCACTCGTTGTGATGCCATCTAGCTATGACTAATCTATCCCTTACTATTAGATTTTGTGCCTGCCCCGGAAATAAATAAATCCGTACACAAATCCATGAAGACATACCAGTTCCTTCCAGTGCCAGTTTTGTGTAAAGCATGGCTGAGTCACAGACTACAAGATGTTTAGCCCACTGTCCTGGCCAGTAAGAAGCTGTGCAACAGCTAATCCGTAGGATATTATGGGAATACCTGGCCAAGATGAAATAGAAACTCATGCTGCAATGGGCTTGGCAGATGAAGGAACATCAGCCCTAAAAGAGAAGTCTTGGGAACTGAGCTTCTCTATCGACTGTGACCCTGAGCCCAACGTCATGAGTGTGAGAATTTGCTTTGGTTTAAAGCAGCGTGCGAGTGCGTCAGGTCTCGGTGCTGCCTCAAACGTTTGCTGCCGACAGTTCAAATCACCTCACAGGGTCAGCTCCTGGCAGTCAGTGCCTGTCGCTGCCAGCGCCCAGCAGAGGTGTGTGGCAAGGATTCCTTGTTGCTTCACAGCACACCCTGGCTCCAGGACTCTCAAGGCTCCAAGGATACACGTGTTCACTTTGGACTTTCAGGTAGCTTATGTCATGCAATAGAGTAACACGCTCCCAGTGAGGAGGTGGAGAAGTGTCAAACAGAGGGAGGACACAACTTGTTTTGTCACCATACGGAAGTCTCTGCTGCCACGGGGATTCACCTGCTGAGCTCACCCATAGCGTGGCCTGGGTGAGGGCGGCAGCACCAGAACACAAACAGGACAAGACAAGGCGAGAGAGAACAGACTGCATTGCTTTAAGCGTAC